TTTTTTTTTTTTTTTTTTTTTTTTTTTCTCCTTTTTTTTACATCCTCATCAAGGAGGTTGAGCGCGCGCTTACGCAATTGTATGCATGCCCATGTTTATCCCAACAACATTGGCCAAATTAAAAGGCCCCCTTCCACCTGCAGGGATATGTACACATGTGTGACCCGCAAGTACGCCACTGCGCGCATGTATGCTGCATCTACACTTGCCGGTGAGCGTACTCGCGGGTGAGGGAAAAGTCACCGATACGTGGCGAGCGTTTGTGGGGTGGTTTAACACTTGTGCAGGCGCGTGGCAACGTAGTTGTTTTTTCCGCGAATCGGCAGGAAGGTGAAAGAGGGTGTACGACCTGCTCAAATCGGAAGGTGCTTCTTGCATGTGCATGACCTCTCCCCACACACACCCAACACACACCTTACGTGGTCGCACCATCGCCAATCATGAATCCCCCCAAAGAGAAGGAACCCCTTCGGAACTGCAGAGACCAGGAAGAGTCGAGCGCCCTACCCTATACCCCTCACCCAGAAAACTACGTCAAAGTGAATAAGTCAAAGTATAACAACAGCGGAAATTACCATCATAAGCAGACGAGAGAAAGTCAGGGCAGTTCGAATGATTATGTAAATTATAATAATTACTCTTACATGTGTAACAACACCGGTGGGAATTACAACCCAGGAAAGATACATCACCACCAGTATGCCAATGGGAGATACCACAAGATGGGTTACAACGAAGGGAATGGCGATTACCCACCCAGGGGTAGAACTTATCGCAGCAACAACGGGGTGAATAACACCGTAGGCACCGGGATATGCGAGGAAGAGATAGTGCACCCACATTATAATAGAAGAAACGGAGGAAATCGCTACCATGACGGTGTAGCAACAGCCACTGCGAATGGATTCAAAACGGTGCCAAATGATGCACAGGGGAGGGGTCCTAACGGGGTGGTAGAATCGAGCGGAGTGATAGAAAAAGAGCCCGATGTGGAAGGAATGAATAAGGACATGTACCCAAATGGAAAAGGCCCAAGTTGGACACATAGAACGAACAACTGCATGGGGAAAAGTTACCCTTCCAGGATGGCGGCGCCGAGGAGTGGCGCGGGAGACTACGCCGGAAAGGCCCAATCGCCGCTAAGCCAAAGTGGCCATCAGAGTGGCCAACAAAATGACCAACAAGGTGACCAACAATGCGCCGTCCCAAACGGAGTGGAAGTCAAAATGAAGGGCGGAATTGAGAGTCAACAGGAGAACCACCACGTTATGGAGTGGGACAGGGACAACCCAAACGCCTTTTCCACCAAAGGGAGGAGAAGAAACAACGGTCGCTACATGAACGCATATAAGGGCGGCGCGAATTACGCCCATAGCTCCGTGGGCAATCGCTCCTCGAACTACTGCGGCGGGGGAAACTTCAGCCACGGCTACGGTCAAGGTGGCGGCAAAGGCAGCGGCCAAAGTAGCGGCTACGGGTACAACCAAAATTACGGCCAAAATTATAACCATAATTACAGCCAAAATTATAACCATAATTATAACCAAAATTACAACAAAAATTACAACCGGAGCTACAACAATTACAATCACAATCAGAACCACAACAGTCACAACAGTCACAACAGTCACAACAGTCACAACAACCACAACAACCACAACAACCACAATAACTGGGGCCATCACAACAGCTGGAACCACCACGGCGACAACCAGGGGGGAAGCCAAAGTGCTAACTGCGAAGCGAGGGCAGCTGCCAAGGTCAGCAGCGGTGGAGAAGAACCACTCAGTGAAGGCGTTGACAGTTGCCTAGTGCAGAAGGAAGGGGCTGCAGATGGTGGCGTATCTACGAACGACAATTGCCTCGATGTTAGCTCCCCAAGCAACCAGTTGGAAGGCACAGGGAAGACGGATGCAGTCCAAGGAGGCGACCTGACTAAAGGAGGCTGCAACGAAAGGAATGGCTCGTGTGGTAAACCTTCCGATGGAGAAGTGGACACACAGGTGTGCTTGAATGTAGAACAGGATACAAATCAGCAGAGCGACAATTGTGATGTTGTAGAGGTGTGTAGGAAGGACCAGTGTAGCAGTAAAGAAGGTATGCACATCAGGGAAAGAAACCATGTAATGGACAGCACTACTTATGTGCAGGCAAATAATGGAGTCACGGGGAAAAACACCAATGACAACTACTCACCAGTCCCGTTTAATAAGAACTGTTTAGGTAAGAAGAAGGCGCTAAACAGAAGTTACCCCCCTGTGTATAGCTCCAACTATGAAATTAACATCAATGGAAATTTCTGGAGGGGAAAGAATAATACCCTGTGCAATGGCAGTACTAGTGGAGCTCGTTCAGAGGACTGGAATGGGAGGGACCCATTTCGAGGGTCATCCACGACAACACCTCATAAGGGTTACAAACATAAGGAACGTATGAACGGAAGTGTAAAATCGCTTGTTGATAATGACCTGGTAACGAACACCCAAGGGGACTACTTACAAAATGTGACGCAGTTGGACAGTGGCCACTCGTTTGATGAGAATAACACCGTAACGAAAGAGTATGGGGTGTCTGAGAATGGAGACCTTCAGGTGAGGAATGTTGGTGGTAGGACATTGAGGGAGGAGCTTCATCATCAGGAGGAGGAGGAGTTTTACGTGGATGAAGTGTGTCCAGATGGGAAGACGACCATAGGGGAAGAAGATACCTTGCGGAAAAACCTACCTGCGACGACTATATCGAACGGTGTAGGAGAGGCAGCACTTGTGTGCGGTGAGGAGAGACAGTGCTTGGATGATACAGAAGGAAGTCATGGTGGTGGCGATCGGTCGCGGAACCCCTTTCCGAGGCGCCTTTCCAATCGTATCGCAAAGTGTGAGGGGGGAAAGACGGACACAGTGGTGGGGGGTTACCCCTCAGGGAGGGGCGACTACTACAACCAAGTGAGTGGGAAGTATAACCAGGGCGGAGCGCCCTCTGTGCATCCATCGCAAGAACCACAAGGAATGTACAAAAGCGGGGCATATAAAAAGCAAAACAGTGTGTTTCCCCCAAACGCGCTTAAGAAACATGGAAGGAATTTAAAAGGAGGCAAATCTCAATTCCCCAGCATGCATGAATGTTTCTTTTCATCTAATAAAGGGAAGGGAGGGTCTACTCGGAGAAGTGAACCCGTTGGAGTAGACGAAGTGGATAGGAAGTTCCCTCCTGGCGAACCAATGTATGGCATGACAAATGAGGGGATAGTTTTTGTAGGAGATTCCAGCTACACAAATGGTTCTCCCTTTTGTGTTAAAAGTAAGATGATGCTATCGAGTAAAGGTGCAGTGGAAGGCTGCCATTACGAACAGAAGGACGAGTTCTCCCCCACGACGGACAACACAACAATGAATTTTTACAGAGCGGAATTGAAGGCGCTCAAGGAGGATGTTCAAATCTGTGACAGGAGTTCAACTCGAGATAAGGATTCCATTTTGGTGAACCCTAACCTAACCCATGTTAGGAGCAGTGTACAGCTTAACTCGATGATGGCGATGAATGGCTGGAGGAAAGAACCCATCCTAAGGAGGCAAAAAAAGGGAACTGCTGCGGACAAATTTAAACGATCCATCATGGGGAGAGATGCCGGGGATAGCAGAAAGGGGAGAGGCGGGGTTGGGGGCTTGGTCAAGGAGGAGCACATCATGGTGCATAGCGGTAACGCGCATGATGTGGAGCAGCATCACGGTGAACAGAGACTAAGTCAGGCGAAGGCACCAACTACCCCCCCAAAGTACCGTAGGTCTAGATCGGAGAATATACATTACTGCCACAATAACGACCTAAAACATTTAGAAGTGGCCATGATGAAGCCCCACATGGAAAAGTTCAAGCGGACGGTGAATGTCAATGGGTTCAGAACCCTTTTGCAAAAGGTTTTAATTAGCTACGTCGATGGGGATGTGGTGGAGGGGGTATCCACAATGTTGGGTTCACCCAATGAGCAAGTAAAGGAGCATCAGAGTAGGAAGGTCCAGTACACATTTGGTGAAGCAACACCTGCTTGCAGTTACGTGGAGGGTGTGAAAGGGGGATGCTCTGCAGAAAAGGAAGTGACAGTCGTCAGGCAAATCGGTGCAGTTAAAACGGACAAAGCGATTTACGTTTCCCGAGATCATCTTAACTATGGTAGTAATATAAAAACGCAGAACACCTTTCTTTGCTTAGCCTTCGAGAGGGCCCTCCGTGTGGACAGGGACCCCAAGACAGATGAGGACGATGCGGTGGACCGCGATACGGCGGAGCGCCATACGGATGAAGCGAAGTGGGAGGAAGACAAACGGATGAGTTGTAGCCATGGAGAGGAGGAGGAAGAAGTAGTAGCCCCCCGTGAGGGAGTGGTCAGAGGAGCGTTCCTGAGCAGGAAGGACTGTGTGGGTGGCGGCGACGCGTGCGCAGGGAGTAGCCGTGTAAGCGTTCATTGCGGCAGAGTAGGAGGAAACTACGGTGAGCGCAGCCATTACAGTGGTAGAGGTCACCACCGAGGAGGGAGGGGTCACCATGGAGGAAACTACGGTAAGCGTGGAAACTATCACCGAGGTGACATGCACAACGAAGTGGTCACCAGAAACAACCTGTTCAAGTGTATCCCCCAGGAAAATACTCCCTTAAAGAGTAACCTAACGGATGGCAACACCTCCCACAGTTACTCCAAGAATGAAGTACTGGGGAACAACAGCTATGGGGACAAGGGTCTAATTCAAAATGATTTTGTGTTAAGTAGAATATCACCCACAGGGACGGGTACCACCACCACGGCGACCATAACGACGATGGACACAAGTGCTTCCAACTGTGCACACTCCAAGGTGCACATGAACGGTAGTGGTGGAAGAATGGTTAGGCATATGATCGGCCAGAAGGGTTTCTTCGCCCACCTCCCTGAACGACGCAGGAGAAATATAAACACATCGGACTACTGCTACATGAATGGTCAGAATGACTCTTCCATGGAGAACTACCAACCCCAGGGGTGCAGTGTTGGGAGTGGCGGCCCTAGCAGTGGTCAAAAGGGAGGCCAAAACAGCAGCTACAATGACCATCAGGGAGGAAGCGAAGTTGAGGGCGTAAACGACAATTACGGCTTTTATGCCAATCACTTTGGAGGTGGTGAACATTCAAGAGGAGAGAACACTGTAGGTGGTGCAGATGCACTGGACAGCGTGCGAGACGGTAACGGATATACATTCAATGGGGGGTACGAACGCCACAACCACAGTCACATGAATGGCTTTACTCAACGAAGGCAGCAGAGAAACGGGACCGCCAGTCATTATAGAATAGGGGGGCACCAATGGACCAACCAACCCACGAACAGCAACACAGGGAAGAATAGAAGTCATTTTAATAATTACATGAACAGAAACGGGACGATGCCAAACAGTCGTTTCTCCTGTCAGAGGAATGTCGCCACGGGGAACCTTTTTTCTTATGCCGATGAGGGAAGCATGCCTCCCCACCACAGTAGTGGTAGCACGCCTTTTAGCAGTGGTAACGCGCCGTTTAGCAGTGGTAACGCGCCGTTTAGCAGTGGTAACGCCCCGTTCAACGGTGGCAACGCCCCATTCAGCAGTGGCCCTGTTAAGGCCGGCTCAGGGTTCGATCCTAATGGGGGCTTGATCAACCCAGGTAACAACGGAGGCAGTGCCAGTGGAGGGTATCATTATAACGGCGGTTGCGAACCGACGTTCAAGTCAGCTACCCATACGGTGAATGGGCGGACAAAGGGTAGGAATGCTTCGTACGTAGGTGGTGGGTACGGGGCTAACCATGCATTCAATTATGGAGCAAATTGGTCCCCCCCCGCTGTCGCCGGCCCTAGTACATCATCCCACTTTGCAGCCACCACAACGAATGCCCACCAAAGTACACACGGAAAGGGAAACAACCATGTGAACGGGGATGGCTTGAACAGCGTGCCCACGTTAGATGAGATCAAGTGTGAGGACACCGAGGTGGTAATTATTAACAACCCATTGGAGAAGACACAACCATGTACCATGGTAAGTAAAAAGTGGGTGAATTATGGTGCCCACGCTGGAACGCATTATAGAAGCGACAGGAGAAGAACGCAGCCAAGTCCGCATGAGGAGAAAGAACATGTGATGTATAACGGAAGGCAAGACGTAATTGACAGGGACGATATTGACCCTGTGAGGGAAGCGGACCAGGGAATTCATGCTGATGATGGAGTGAGGAGCAAAAGTAGAAACAGGTGGTCGAGAGGTGTGGAAGGAATCCCTTTCCGCAGGGATACGAGATCGGCAAAGGGAGAAAAGAAAGGCGATGTTGGCATGGATGTTGCACATGGTAACAGTGGAGGTCGTGGAGGAGAGGGAGAGTCTCTAAAGGGGAATGACTCACTCATAGGTGACCGCCTCGGGGAGGAAGGAGAAAATGAAGGGAGAGATAAGGAGGAAAGCCGATTTAAGAGGAAGAACCAGCTTCATCTTCAGCATCATCTGCAGCATCATCCTCAACATCATCTTGTGCACGGAGATGTGCAAGCTATGCGAAACAAGAAAGACGGTCTGCGTAGAGGTGATTTATTAGTAGGTGGTACTACTACCACTCCCTGTGATGGTGGGATGGACGTTGATGTGGCCAAGGAAAGGAAGTGCGTGGACATGGTTAGAGGCAACCGAACAGATGGAATGCCCCCCCATTTTGAGGTCGTCCTTGGTGAGGAAAACGGCGCCTTCAAAGGGGAAGCCAAGCAGAGGGAGAGGAAAGACAACACAGAGACGAACCACTTAAGGAGGATCAGTCGAGGAGAATCGAGCGATAGGAAGGTGGGTTATGCTAACTCATCGCCGCCACGTCAGCAGGTAGCGAATAAAATGAGATCGCCGAAGCAAGGGGGTGACAGGAGCGAAATGAAAAGTGACAGAGCATACACCAATTATGGACCACATGGAGATAATTTGAGGGACACCAACAACGTTTCAACGATAGAACCCGTTCTTTGCAGCTTGGAAGGAGAGAATGCATATGATCATAATGATCCCACGGAGGAAGTTCACCAACTCGACCCCATCTCGCGCGACTACGAGATGTGTGCAACTGACCAAGAGCAACTAATCGTTGGAGAAAACCCCCACTGTAGTGTTGATTTGTGTACCCAGGAGGAGACGGGTTCCCTCCCTGGTGGGGGTGGCAGAGGAGAGGCATACGAGAGTACTACCAATAGGGGGAGTTACCGACGGAAGAATAAAAACAGAAAAAGCATGTACGAGAAAGGTATGAATGATACAGGTGCATACAATAACAGAGTTAGCAAACCTGCAAGGAGCAGAAAGAAGTGACGTTGTGTGAAAAGAAGTGGGAGGGGGAGAGATCACCACAGCTAAGCTTTTCCCACGCTGACATGAGAACGAAAAAAAAAGGGGCAACAAATATAAATAAGTATGGTGCGATGAGCATGCTCACCCGAGATGCATCCCCCCTTTGTATCTGTTAATGGGGCAGTAGCTTATATACAGTTGTGCGCATTTCTATTTACCCCGCGCGATGAATCTCCGAGGTCCACTTTGAACCACGCGGCGTTTTCGCACTTATAATTTCTGCTGCGACGTCTTTCCATTTTAGAGCGGATTAATCAGTTCTACCCTTCGTGTTGCATACGGGGAGTGGCCGCTAACATTTTTTTTTCTCCGCCCACCCCGTGTTATACACAAAATGAACTTTACAACCCTAAGGCGACACATTAACAAATTTTGCACTTCATCAGTTCGATAGAGGGAGAGGTTTGTTCTTTCCATTGGAGTGGTCAGAGGGGAGAACAGCTGCGTGTTCGTGAGGACAGGATGGTGTGCCATATGGGACAGACGTCCGTACTGCCTATTGACATTCGAGGGACAAGTGTGTCCTTCAAGCGGTGGTCAAAATGGTATTAGCAAATATAAAAGGCTATTGCGTGTTAGTGAAAAAAAAAAATAGCTAGCCGTTTGCAGGATTAGTAGTGGGTCGTCTAACCTCCACACACCCCAAGCCCAGCTGCACAGTGCACATTGCACAGTGCACATAGTATGCGTGTTACGATATGTATGTATACATATATGTGTAAAAGCCTGCGTGTGCGCACCGAGTTTGCAGGCATCCAGGGAAAGAGAGATATATGTCTTTGCGAACCGGGGGGCGACTTTTTTATACTTTCGCCACGGAGTGCAATTGTGCGCCGTGGTGAGCGTAACCCGTTTGGGTCTCCACATGAACATACATTTCGGTGGCATATTACACAAGATACATTTGAACGGAGATGTTACTCCACGATGATGAGAAGCGGTTAGACGGCTCTTACCGCTCTGTCACTCCCCAACACTAGGAATTCTTACGTCTGCGGAAGAAGAGCACATTGTTTTGGTTCTTCAAATAGCCAAAGTGATTCCACCCCGTGCTCATGGGTATTCGTAAGTAGTACTTAACATCGAGCTCGTGGAGAAAAGGAAACTTTTCATTCGAGAAGCAGTCATAATAATCATTTCTGTCCTTTGAGTTTCCATTAACCTTTTGGTTGTCTAAGATGGACTTTACCTTTTCTTCGAACAATCTACTAACCTCAATCGCTCTGTATACATAATGTTCGTCCTCTGTTTTGATGAGGTACACAACGGGTCCTAGTTGGGCTGCATATTGTACATTAAATAGTTGGTGTGAGAGGAGGAAGCTTTCGTTGAGAGAAAAAACGGGTTCTAGAATTTTTGAAAAGTCAGGTGCATCTAAGATCCTTTCGAAAAAGGAATCTTTTTCTCTCTTCATTTTATTCATTAAGAAAATTAATTTCTCCCTTTTCTCTCGGTCAGCAAATTCCTCTTCATATGGGTCATCGTTAAAGGGAGCGTTTCTACTTGAGAGGACAATTCTATGTTCAGTTTGATTCGCATTTTCAATTTTGCTCATGTGTTCTATTGCATTTTCTCCACCACGTGGATCCTCCATTAATGATCCTTCTCCTACTACTGTTGTCTCTTTTGTTATAATACCATCCCCCTGTTTGTCTTCGTCCCCGTTTTGAACTACATCTCCTCCATCACTACCCTTCTGCCCTCTGCTCAGTCCCATAGCAGACATAGCCATTGGCATGGCCATTTTCATTTTGTCTTTGTATCCCTGTTGCAGGTGGTCACCTTCCTCTGGAGGCCCGCCTCCCCTAGATGTGTAGTAATACCTCTCAAGGAGCTTGACCTCCGCATGGTAGTACTCATCTGTGTCATCCACTTCATCAAAGAGACCAACCGACTTGAGGTTCATTAATTCAGTAAGATTTGGAAAAGGTACATCTAAATACTTGTGCTGGATTCTACACTTGTTCATATATGTTTCATAATCGGCATCGTCAATTACATTTTTGGCATGTCTGTACAAGAACATACGATCTATGTAGTGGTACTTCATTTCTTTATTTTTTGCATTTTCAATAATTTTATTTAATTTACTTTTGCTAATGTAATATTCGTCATCTGCTTCTAGCAACTCGTCAATGAAATTCAACTCTCCCTTGCGTTGTATGTTCGAGTAAATGTCCTTGAAGAAGCCCCTGCTGAAGAGATACTCCGCGTCGTTCTTCAGTACCGAGTCGTCTTCTTCGTTTGGGTTTATTGGCTCCACGTTCTCTAAGGGAGAATTAAAAAAAAAAAAATGTGTGTTATTAGAATGAAGTTGGTCGTGTGCGCGGCTCGTATATATGTTCTGTTGTTGCTCAACTTTGAACAACAGCGCCCCCTTCCTCCATGCAAATACCTTTCCGCTTGATGTCTCCATTTTCGAACTCTTCTGCGTTCTTGAAGAAGCACGTGTGGAAGAGCGGGTTGTCGGAGTCCTGGTTGCAACACTCCTTGTGGTGGGAATTGCGTGAGGTGTTCACACCACGACTACTGTGGTAACTTTGCGGTAACGCTTCGCTCCTGAAGGAGTATACGCTTGGTTCATTTGTGACGTCACTGTAGTAAAGTCCATTGAGAGACTTGCACCTAATAGCATCACTGTGCCTCCGCGTGTTGCTCTTATTATTTCTTTCTACGTACATATATTTATTTAGGTAATTGGAGTCGGAGTAATTGTATTTTTCTTGCTCCCTTAAAAATTGAGTTGTGTGTCTTCTCTTCAGTGGATGGCTCTCCATTATTTTCTTCCTTTCCTCGTCATCCTTCCTCACATAATCAGCACGACTGTGTGTTCCGTAATCCATCACTGTGCCATTTGCTTTATACATGTCCAGTTTTTTTCTCACATCCATTTCTGGGGAAATACGTAGTGCACCGGTTGCATTGCCAATCGGTGCAACTCCTTCTAAGTATAACTTATTCTCTAATTCACGTTCTAAGTTGAAACTAGAAATTGTGGACTCGGAGTTTATATACAAAGGAAGGGTCTCTCTGAATGTATTTTGGCTATCTGCATTTGTATTAATGTATCCTTTTGTGTTTTCACTCTGGGTAGTGCTACTCAATATATACGTTTCGTTTAAGTTCCTTCTATGGTCTGCCATTTGTGCGTTTTGCATGGTATGATTTGAAGACTCTGTTACCTGTCCTGCATGAGGTAACTGTGTGGTGCTCCCTGTTCCGTCAAGCATGTTCAGGTAGTATGCCTTACTCATATTCAAATAATTTTTTTCATTATGATCATATATTTCGGGCTTGTTTTTTTTCATCGTCCTATTCACTATGGACCTCACAGCGGCACTTTTCTTAATACTTTCATCGACGCTGCTTCTGAGTTGTGTTCTGCATTTGAGTGGAGTGAACTTTTTGTTTTGGTTATACATGGAGTAGGGAGAGGAGTACTTCCTTCGTTTGGTAAAGGCATTGTTGAAGTTGTAGTTAAGGTAATCTATGTGGTTTCTTGGATGAGCGCTTGGTTCATTCGCCACGGAGATGGTGCACCTCCTCTTTTTCGCCACGGGTTTGCAGTCATCGCTCATTTTAGTGGGAGCGCTGTACCTCGCGCTGTACATCTTGTGGATGCTCAGGTTCATGTTGCTCCCGACGTTGTCGAACGACATGGTGGCTTGAGGTGTAGCGGTGAACAGAGCGAAGCGGTGTAGTGGGGAAGCGGTGTAGCGAGCGTGGGCCGCTATTCGTTGCAGGTGTGTAACCCTCTCCCAGGAGGATGCACATAAATGGTGTGAAATAAAAAATGTTGGCCAGAGGAAACCCGTTGGGGATTCCTTCACACGCAGTTGCGTGTGTGCGTCCTCGCGGGGGGGATTGCGCACACAGGTATGCAAGTGTGTAGGTGAAAAGTGTAAAGCATAAGCGATTGTGTTCGTGCGTATGCTTGCACGCACACGCTTTCGCCTTTTTTGGCCTTCTGTTTTTCAACTCTGAATTCACTCTGAACTGTGCATACACACTTGAGAGGCACGTATTCCAAAGATACACGTTCCAACGAAGTAAAATTCTTTGCACTTCATACAGAGGTGGTTGGAACAAGCACGTGGAAAAGAAGCCAAGGTTGGGGGGGGGTGAAGAAAAAAAAAGAAATGCAACAAAAAAAGGAAAGCTCAAAAAAATGGGTCAGCACAAAAAAAAAAAAAAAAAAAAAAACTTTGGTACAATTAACAAACAAATGGGATATTATATTCCACCCCTTTCGATTAAAACTGTTCAGGCTTGGACGCATGGACGAGCGTACAATATTGGCGACATGACACATCCACCCCACCCCCTACTCAAATACATTTTCCACTTTCATGCATACGTTACCGTCGCACAGGCTGGTGCATTTGGTGCGCACTCACGGGAATGAACTGCTGCCTGGACCGACTCACCCGCAACATTAAAAAGGGGGTGTTACGTTTCTGTTCTTTTCTGCATGAGAGGGCATATTATACTACATGATATTTATAATGACACACATTGTGGTGTGTTCCTTTTTTTTTTTCCCCACTGCTCTTTCCTTTCAATTTGTTTAGCAAAAATGGTTGTCACTTTTGCGTTGTGGTCATTTCTTCCAAGCGTGGTGTGAGTGCATAAATGCATCGACGGCGGCGGGGGGGACGTGTGTTCCCTAGGACTTTCGAGCAGTGGCATGTTTATTAAGGGTGATCTATTTTTTTTTTTTTTTTTTTTTTTTTTTAACATGCCAAAATGGAAAAAAAGAAGAATAGCATGTGAACAGGATAGAGGAGGGGGGGTGGAACAACACTTTCCCTTTTTCTCTTGCACACGTGGGAAGAACTGAAAAGGCATCGATCCTGTTGCGGCCAGTTGCGCGCCCAGTAGCTTTTGACACGTTCGAGTTAGCCTTTTTTTATTCTTTTCGTGTGTATGCATACTTGGTACGGTACACTAGGCCCATGTTTTACATTTCTCTGTGACCCGCTACTGGTCGATGTTGCCGTTGTGGCCCCCTCCTGCGAACATGCACAAAAAGTATCTGAGGCGCCCAGAGCGGGGATAAAAAAATGGGATGCCTTCTCTTGGCAGGCAAAAAAGCCCCCCATATGATAGGTACCCCTCCACGCGCTTCGTGTTGCCCCGCTTCCCCACACGGCGTGCGCAACAATGCGAAAGCTTTTTAAAAGGTGCATGGGGACCTTGTGCACAGTTAATCCACATGAGAATAGCACAGGACAACACTTACGTCTCTTGAAGTTCCCCGGCTCGGTCATATATGTACATGATGAAAATGTGCATAAGTATGAAAAGGGTATAATGCAGTACCTGGGTACGGACATTATTGGGTTTGACACGGAGTTCGTTTTGGAACTAAGTGAAGGTCGTTTGAACCATGTGGACAGCGGGAAGGTTCCCCACAGAGCTCAACCACTCAGGGACGCCATCCGCAGCAAGGGGATGCAAAGTAACATGTTGTCATACGTATCCCTACACAGAGTAGATAGTAGGAAGGAGAATAAATTGAAAGGGTTCACGGCATTGTCAACAGAAGGTAATTTATTAAAGAGAGTACACAGGAATAACTACCCACCATGCAGTCAGCAGAAAACGCTGTGCCTCATTCAGCTGAGCTCGAAAAATTTGTGTTTCGTCTTTAACATTAACAAACTGGAGGGGAAAATTCCCATGTGCGTGAAGGAAATTATGGAGGATGCGAAAATAAGAAAAGTGTGCCATGACATTCGAAATGACAAAGACATGTTCCAAGACCAACATATTCAAATAAGGAACACGTTCGATTTATATGATTTTTGCATGCAGAATTTTTTGTACCCTCCTTCATTACAATTCTTAGTTAAATTATTTCTTAAAAAGAATTTAGAAAAACGTTTTCGCTTGTCTAATTGGTTAAGTGATGACTTGAAGGAAGAGCAAATTCTGTATGCTGCTGCCGACGCCTATGCGTCCAGGGAGGTCTACATGGTTTTAAAGGAACTGGGCAAGCTCAACGAGTCGTGTGTGTCGAATGACTCGTGTCGTGTGACTTCACACGGGAGGACTACAGCATCCGCAGCTGTGATGGATCCCCATCTGATGACTCCAATCGATAAGGAGGAAAAGACAAGTGACGCCAAAAAGCTTCATGGTGAGACCCCTCAAGAGGGAGAAAGTAAAAATAATGTTTTGTCAGCGGAGGCGAAGCAAAGTAGTAACACCCAAATAGTACATGAAACGAAAGGGCACACTGCCGCAATGCACAACTCTGTCACTACGATTCAGCAGAATGACACTACGCAGGGGCGATATTCCACGGGGATGGAAAAACAAACGTATGCATTTTTTGGAAGACACGAATTAAGCACTATTCATGAGTTAAAAAATAAAATTCAAGTGAAATGCGCCAAACTTTGTAACATATCCTTTGTTGAAGAAATGGTGTTTGCAGACAATGGCTATAAGAATCGGATGTCCTTGCAGGACGTGGAGAGAGGCAGGTGCCTCATCGTGTTGCATTCGCAGGGCTTCCATGAGGAAGTCAGGTGCTGCCAAGAAATACTCACTTATATGGACAGCGTGGCGTAGCAGGTTACACGCAACACGTTGCAGGAGTTGCGCGTTTCGCATCTCCTCCAAGTGGCCAACTGATGTACGCGCGCGTGTGCGAGGTACAACTCACCATTTGCACAACATTTCAGCTAGCTATTTTTTTTTTTTTTTTTTTTTTTTTTTTCCAAATTTGCACATAACTGCTGCGAAAAAGGGGGGAAAAAAAATGACCCGTTCAGGCGTTTTTTTTTTCCGTTTCGTTTGTCTTTAAAATTTTTAGCGTAACTTGCGTGGGTTCCCCACAGTGGACAAGAAACGAGGCTCCACTCGTCAGGTGAAGGAAAAGTGGCTCTTGTTCTTGGAGGGGTAGGACACGGAGTAGTTCAAAATGCAATCGTATATAAAAGTGGGTGTGACGAACAAGGGGAGCTTCTTCTTTTTCTGTTTGCCCTGCAGGGAGTTATAAAAGTCAATGGCATTTGGATCGTTGCAGTTGGCAACGACAATATACTCGGCGTCAAGGGGGTCCTTCACAATTTTTCCCTCGCCAAGAGTTATTAAAGCTTTACACAAAAATAGCGCATCGTAATAATTGGACTGTTTCACACTCCCAATATTGAATATATAAAAAAACTGTTTGCTGAAAAGTCTATCGTGAGCTAGCTTTTGTCTGGTGTTGAAATTTTTGTTCCTCACAATGAATTCATTTTCAGTACAAATGCTGTTCCAGTACACATCGGTGTATTCAGGCCACCTTTGAAATTTTTTTAAAATAAGATCAATTGCTTTTTCCTTGAGCATGTACACATCGCTGACTAAGCTACATAAAATTTTGGGGTCATATAAATCGACGTGTTCTTTTTCATCTGGGACGATACAAAAACTTATTTTGTTCCATTCGTTTATATCACTTGGCATGTCGTAAATTTCAATTCCTTTAGTCCCTGCACCATTTTTCGTTATTAGTCCCTTTGGGTCATAAGTAAAATTTGGAGGCTTCAAATGTTTGAGTTTGTTTAGCTTGTTATATATGATATCTCTGTAGTAGTTGTTAGCCGCCCCGATGAGCTTTATTTTATTCACTTGTTCTCTTCCTTCGTAGTAACTTGCATCCACGTTGTGCGACAGTTCGTCTGAGTAGGACGAGTCTGTACTCTCGTAGCAAAGATTCATATTACAATTTTGCTTTGTCTTCTTCATATCGCTATCTGGTATATTTCTCTTTCTTTTTAACGAACTCATTTTGGTGGCGCCCTTTTTGGAATTTGCTAAAGTCACGCTGGAGGTGCTCGCCCAGCAGGCGCCTCCTTCCACCACCAGCTGCTGTTTAGCAAACTTATAACAATCGTAGTAGGAGCACAACTTGTACTCTAACCCTTTGATGACATTCGTATGGAACGTTTTAAAATTCGTTTTTTTCACTGTCCAGATGTTTTCTGTTTTGTCCCAGTGGAAGAGGTTAAGCTCTTTCATTTTCCGGACCACTTCCTCATTATACGGCACGATTTTTACTTGCACCGAGTCGCTCTTCACCGGGTTGTGCACGATTATGTGTTGCATGGCGAACATGGTACTCTTCGCGACGTGCTGAACGAACCCGCTCTTGTCCCTGCGCGAGAAGAGGGCCGCGTCGTACTGGTTGGCCTGATTGGTTGCAGGGTTTGCACTGGGGGGGGTTGGGCCCTCCTTGCTCGTCTCCCCCACATTTTTTTCGTTCGGCGGTTCGTTCGGCGGTTCGTTTAGCGGTTGGTTGAGCGGCTTGCTTAGCGGCTTATGTAGCGGCTGCTTGACCGCCTCCCTCGCAGAGGCGAAGTGGTTAAACAGCTTGCACACGTAGTACAAAACCGTGTCGCTGACGGTGCCCCCCAGAAAAATGGTCAGCTTGGTCATCTCGTAAATGTAAAAAATGGGTATGTGCCAAACCTTCTTCTCACTTTCCCACTTGACATTTCGGCAGTGGACCTTAAAGTAGGAAGTAATGGTTTTATTTTCGTTTGTGTATTTGAGTTTCAACACCAGGTGTCCCTTCTTATCATCCATGACGTTGCTGCAGGACGCGTTGTTATAAAGGATGTAGTTGTAAATGTTGCTGACCTCGATGTGTGTCCAGCTGCTCAAAAAGTCTGTCGTCCTTGTCCTTTCGTCTACTACATTGTTCAGGTAAAAATCGAAGTTGTTTCTTTCCTTTTCATTTATATACAAGTCCAAGAATATATCATCTGGGAGGAACATTTTTTCAAGACTCACCAAATTTGTGTCCACATTTTTTGCCTCTACCTTTTTGAAGTAGTGCGTCCTGACAAACCCGTTGTCCTCTTCCCCCTTGTGGTACTTGGCCAGCAGGGCACTATCCCGATGGCTCATTTTCGTCCGTGTGGATGATAACGCACAGATTGGGGACAGGAAAGAGGTCAGCACGGAAAATACAAGTCTCTTCTCTCAATCGTGCTGTATATTGGCTTCTGCACTTGGCCACTTCCAGTCAGGAACAAAAAAAAAAAAAAAAACGGTCTCGGGGGAGGGGGGAAACACCATTATGAGGCCTGGCTCTCTCGCGCGATTTGGTAAGGGTTACGAGGAGTGTGTATGGGTGTGTATCATTGTGCGGCAAGTTTACCATACTTGTGTATTTTTTTTTTTTTTTAGTGACACTGGTGCTCGATCGATTATCTAGTGCGCTGGTCACTTGGCGACTTGTACGAAAGGTTGGCGGATGCCGCTTTGAGCTGGACGTGTTCAGCTGGCCGAGCGGAAAAAAAAAAATTATAAATAAACAAAACAAAATAATATAAAACGGAATGAACGAACGATGAACAATGGGGTCCCTTTTCGTGCCCCCTGGTCACGCTTTACCCGACGTTCCCTCTTCCGGAAAATTCCCTGCAACAAATTCGGAGGAACGATCTGCAACTTTGCGCCTCGCGTGCGTGATCGTTTCCCAAAGTACGGGGCGCATGCAGTACATGGGGAATTGCCGCCCGGGCGTCTTCTCATCAGGAGGGGCATAAAGGCACGGAAGCGTCTTGGCGTTGTTTTTCCCTTTTTTACGCCATTTTTATGCCCATTTTTTACGGCCATTTTTATGCCCTTTTTTTCGCCCTATTTTTTGGGGGGGCCTCCTCGCGGGGAGACAACACCTTCAACTTGTGGCATCGTCAAAGAGGGGGAAAAAAAAACGAGTCAGCGAAGACACCTACATGTGTTGCATACCCCATCGGTATCAAACCATTTCCAATTACAACGCCGGTGAAAAGCACTCCTGGTGACAACCAGCGTCAATCATTATTACTCCAATAAGAGGCTATCCCAGTAATGCCTTATACGAACTGACCCACGTAACCGTTACCTGTGCACACAGAAATAAGCACATGCGGGTTCTGCCTCATCCCCCTCCACTTTGCCGCGCCACTACACAACTGCAGCTCCAGATAAAGGTGAACATGGGTAGGTATATTCACAACTGTGGCATGATAAAGTCGTCTGCTCAGGTTCATGCACAAAAGGGAGAGAAAAGTAAAAAAAAGAATTGACAAACGGTTCGCAGATATGCATGCTGTGTGTGCATAAGGGTGTAACATTAAAAAAAAAAAAAAATAAAATAAAAAGAAAATTTTTCACACCTCTCTCCCCCCACTTGAGGTGTGTGTCATATTTTGAAGGACACCGAGACATAGGGATATATTTCCTCATCATTTTCATCAGACCTCTTAATGTAATTTTTTCCAATCGAGTCCGTGGTGGAAAATATATCATACAACTTTTTTCGCACTTTTTTCTCTTTACTTTCCCCATTGATGCGTATACTGAAGGAGGCAAAGTTGGGGGGCACTCCAAAGCGAAGGACGGATTCACAAAAGACTCTCAATATATTAATATGAATAAAGGCGCTAAAAACATCTGAAAAAGCTGCTAAACACATCCTACGTAAGAAAGTTTCTTGTCGTATAATTTCCGCTTCCACTTTTGTCCTAGACTCCATAACATCATTGTACTTCTTCTCATCATACTTAAAAGATTTGACAACGAATTTTTTCAACTTGGCTGCTTCTTTAAAACTTTCAGCAAATTTTTTAAACACGTAAACCTTCCACAATGTATTACCATCCTTGTCCACTAACCCCTTGAACTGTTCTGTTGATCTGGGCACTACATACTCTGAAAATTTTTCATAACTAGCTAGCCATTCTTCCACAGAATTTTTAGGAATGTATGCAATTAACGTGGTCAAATATTCTGTCTCCATAAAATCATTTTGGTTAACTGTTTGTGGAGTCAAAATTTCATTTAAATTTTTTAAAAAAAAATTATTCGTATCTGTTTTGGGGATATCTTTTTTTTTTTTTTCTTTTAATTCGTTTAGCATACTTGACTTTATATGTATTTCGTCAGACAGCTTGGTAATATTATTAACCATCACGTCGATGGTATCCGTTAGTGACCTGTTGCGTGGGTACTTGGCATCGTCCCAACTGAAGCGCCTTATATATTGATCAATGTTAATGTGTTGCCTCTGGTATATAATTTTTAACTCTATATTTTCATCATACTCTTTTGCAAGTTTTTCAATTTTTTTTAAACAGCCATATGCGTAACTGTCATACTTTTGTAAATCGTCTGCACACTTGAGGAGGTCGTCAAAGGAGCAGAACTTGAGGTTGGTCGGGACGTCCAGGATGTTGGTGTCGATGCACACGTGGCTACCCAGAAGGCGGTTCTTCAGGATCGTGTAGATGTACTCTCGGCTCGTGTTGTCTCTCGTGGAGCACGCGATGAACAGGCACATGGGCGATTCGCTCATTGTGCTGCGGTGCTAGCGGTGTAAAGCGGTGTAGGGAGTGGTAACCCGATGCACGTAGCTGGGCATGTCACAGGGGTTGGGCGCTAATCTTCCGTACGGGCGTATCGTTCCGTGTGGGCGTATCGTGCCGTGTGAGGCTTCCTAGCTTGGTATCCCCCCTTCTCTTCGCGCGCTATTTCGGCAAGGATCCCGGGGGGCTACTTCAACAAAAGCGCTCTTTTGGGGGGGGGGGGGGTTTAAGCTCCGCTACGGCGACCTCGGCGCGACACAGTTTTTTCACCCCTTTCTGATGATTACGCGCTGGGCCACGGGCTTTCCTACATACACCTACATACGCGACAGCACGTTGCGGCGGCAATCATTTCAGCGGAGCGCGCGGGAGAGGGACTTCTAGGGTGGGTCTCCTACACGATGCGCTTTGGATGGGACGCCTTTCTTGGATAGAGCTTCGTTTTGGAAATTCAGCCTTTTATCCGTTCAGCCTTTATGGGACTTGGCCCTTTTGACAGTTGCGCCCTTGTCGGCTTAGCTCTTTTTATTATGATTCCCTTGTTAACGGGTTTTTTCTTCCATGCGGAGTTGCATATGCAGCCGCGCAAACAGTTATGGGGTAAGGTGTCGTACCATAAGTTACCTTTCCTGCAAAAAAGGCGCTTTGACGAATAATCCCGAGGGGGGAAAACTTCGGACCGTGTCGTTTAAAGCGAACGGTTGTACCGGGGAAAATATAGCTGCTCAACGGGGACCGAGCATGCGGGGAAAACATGGCCGGAATGTGGAAATGGAGGCACGGAGAAATGCGAAATGGTGCAAGAAATAGGGGGGGGATGCAAATCACGCATTTACCATTTGCAGTTAGGCGCATACGCCATTATGCACAAAATGCGCTTCTATGTTTTTTTTTTTTTTTTTTTCCACCCTTTTTTTTTTGCCTGACCCGATCATATTTTTTCGAAAAAATTTCGAATTTCGCCTGAACGGGTCAGGCAATGAATTTTTTTTTTTTTCGTATCCGTGCAGCGTAGAGAAACAGCAGTAACCGTAGAGCGAAGGTGGGAAGCAAGGAAACAAAAATGGAAGTAAAAAAAAAAAAAACAAAAAAAAAAAAAAAGTGAATAAAAAATGAGTAAAAACAGCGCGGATCGCGTGTTTTTGTGGAATATCTTTTTTATCGAATGGGACTCCGTGTTTGTGTCGCTCCACAACGTTACAGTGGCACATGTATAAAAATGGTGCAGGCGCCTACCTTGTGTATCCCTTCCGATGTTACGTTCATGTCATACTTGTAGCGCCTATCATTGGGGACAACCCCGTTATCGCCTCTTCTGTGTTAGCGCCAAAACCAAGTTGATTCACTCAACTCGTACGCGAAAGGGATGTTTACATGCATATGTGTATTAACGTATGAGTGACTCTCCCAAATTGTGCAAGTGTCAAATTTTGACGAAAGTCTGTCCCTGCAGAGGAATACCCACACGTGTCCACGGGGAAGGTACAAATGGGGGGAAGCTTCTCCTCGCCTCTCTTAAAAAGGAAGGCGGTGTTCCGAAGTACGTTCATACGTGTGCACGTGCCTGTGTAACTGCCCAAGGGCACATCACAAAAAAACAACAAGCAACGTGCTGAAATAAAATATTAAAGTACGCCGCCGCGGCAGCAGAAACCCCCTACAGACTAATCTTCACATGTGCTGATAGGACGTGAGCATGTCCCTGTACTGCTTTGCGGTGATCGCAAGCAAGGGGGTGGGGTCATCAGTTGGCGGAAGGGCACCCCCCTCCCTGCTGCACTTTATGAAAAAGTCAAAATCCTCGGGACTCACTTTATCACCCACCAACCCTAAATATGTCCGCAGGATTTCCAAATCAACAGAGTTTTTTTTTTGCATGTCCAAGACGTTAAAATGTTTGTCGAACGTGTCATCTGTGTCAATGACTTGGAACAACTTTCGTTTCAGTAAAGTCAGAAACATGGGTAAATTCATTTTGTGTATTTTTTTTATGTCCATTTCTTTTTTGAATTTTCTCACTTGGGGCGCGTCGTACACTTGCTTCAGTTGCCTGGCCATTTGGGGAAACAAGTTGATGTCTATTTCGCCTGACTTGGACAGGTCGTGCAGGGTGAACAGCACCTCGGCCTCCGCGAAGTAGTCCACGATTTTTTTTCTGTGCGGGGGTGAAATGGGGGAAAATACGTAAACGCTTGCATTTGCAAAATTGTAAATTAGCTAATTTGTACATTCGGGCGCACTGCTCCAGGGGAAGGGAAGACTTTTTTTTTTTCTCTCACCTGCTGTAGTCAACCGTGCCAGGCGATTCGCCCTGTTTATTCTCCCCCAACCTGTTCAGTATTTTCCTCACAATTTTCTTCGTGACTTCATTTTGGTAATTAAGTGTGTACTTGTTGTTGTTGTAAAATGCTAAATCCATAGTGACGCTTTGCAGTTTTGCGGAAAATTTGGAAAAAAAAAAAAAAAGGCTTCCTGCTAAGTGCTTGCTGCTCACATGGTCAAATGGCTCCCTCGTTCGATGTGTTAGTAGCGGGGGGAAGAACAAAATATTAAAAATAAAAAAAATTCACTCTGAACGAAAATGCGCCAAGGGATATGTCCCCCATTTGCCTTCACCGTAAGATTGACGATACATTTTTCTCTTTTTCCTTTTTCGCGGGATGTGTGCGCGCGGGAGGATGCAATTGACTTGTGTATGCTTCACATAGCTGTCTTTCACGCTCATATATATTCCTCCCGCCACCCCAAACGCAAACCCATGCGCACGTGACCACACGTCAATGCACATGGTCACTCAACCTGTCAACAGATTTGTGTAAACAAATTCAGTTCACATCAAAATGAACAATGGAAAAAAAAAAAAAAAAAGGACAGTATTATTCTCCTCCGACCACATGTTCAAAATGGACAAAATAAACTTCTCCCTTATGGACGGGGGAAATGGAGCAAATTTTATAATCATGGGATAGTATTACTCATTGAACATGGGGAAGTTTCAAAGGGAAGTGAGAGAATGGCGTTAATTAAAATACGTGTTGCTGTGGAAAAGCAAAAAAAAAAAAAAAAATAAACGCCACGTGTTAATGGGGGCTCCCAAAATGTTGTGAAAAAAAAAAAAAAAAAAAAAAAAAAAAAAGCAACTCAACAAGTTTTAATTGTAAAAATAATCGTCACATTAAAAAATTAAAAAGAAAGTTAAAGTTTGGTGAGTTCGTAATGTTGGGACAGATTTTACGATAATTGGCCACTGACGAATGGCCCAGACTGCGCCACGCAGACAACAGCCTTCTCGTGCTGCTTTCTCCAAAGCCTCAGTCGATCTTCTGCTTGGACGACAGCGCCTTGTTCAGCTGCCTCTTCGCGTAGAACTTAATAACTTCGTCAATGATGATAACCGGGAAGGACCACATGAAGACTAAGAACCAATCGTATGGCGTGAGGGCGACGACGCCGAAAATTTTGGCGAGGGGTGGGATGTACAAAATCATACAGTGGAGCAGCAGCGACCCGATGGTGGCCAACACCAGGTACATGTTTCTCCAGGGGGGGATCTTAAACAGGGAGTTGTACTCGCTGAGCGCGTTGAGGGCGTTGAACATCTCGATCACGACCAGCACAGAAAGGGACAGGGTGCTTGCCTGCGGTGGGGTAGAGGTGGTGAGGAAGGGGGTGATTAGATTAGCACCCTTATTTGCATGGCGAAGCGGACAATGATGCACAGTGTAAAACGCAGCTCAATTTTGGCAAACCGCCGCTAAACACCGCGCAAAGAGGCGACGCCTACCTTGACCTTGCCCGTGGAGAAATACGAACAGGGGTCCTCCGACATGCCGTAGACTCGCCTGACGCTGAAGTTGCCCCAGGCCTTGCACTGGTTGTAGTGCGACAGCTGGTAAAAGTTCACAAGGGTATGGCCGTCCAGGTCCGGGTAAAAGAGGTACCAGTACACGAAGATGGACACCGTGGCCACTCCCACGTATGTTCCTATGACGATGTACCTGAGCAAAGTCAGGCCGTTTATCAAATTGTCGTTTTTGTGTCTGGGCTTGCACTTCATGACGTCGTGTTCGGGCGGGTTGAATCCTGCGGAGGGGGAAGATGTGCGTAAAGCGATGTGAGTGATGCGATGTGAATAATGTAACGTGAGTGAAGCGGCGTAAGTAGTGGTAGTGCAACGTGAGTAGGCGCACAAATGATAAACGCGAACAACGGGGCACTCGCGCGCTGCGTGAGGACTTACCCAGAGCCGTGGCGGGCAAGCCGTCGGTGACCAAGTTGACCCAGAGCAGCTGCACAGGTGCAAGGCTGTCAGGGATCCCGAGCAAAGCCGTGATGAAAATGGACGCCACCTCCCCAATGTTGCTGCTGATGAGGTAGCGAATAAAGGCCTTCATATTGTTATAAATGCATCTTCCTTCCTTAATGGCCTCCACAATGGTGTTGAAATTATCATCGGCCAAAACAATATCAGATGCTTCTTTCGCCACCTCTGTTCCATTTATACCCATGGAAATACCTATATCTGCGGACTTCAAGGCAGGAGCGTCGTTGACTCCATCCCCTGTCATGGCGACGGTTTCTCCAAGGTCCTTTAATATCTTAACAATTTGTTTCTTGTGTTTTGGTTCCGTCCTGCAGAAAACGATACGTTGTTTATTTTTTAAAATATCCTTTTGTACTTCAAGTGGGAAATCTTCAAACTCTCTTCCACTATAGCAACACTTTAATTTTTTGCTCGACTTATTAGATCCCTTGTCCCACTTGGTGGTGGTGTGTGGATCCATTTCATCATCAGTGTCCTCGTTATGAAGAATGTTAATCTCCTTGGCGATGGCCTTTGCTGTGTCCATATTATCTCCTGTAATCATGAAGACTCTAATGCCAGCCAGATGGCAAAGGTTAATGGCTCTTCCGACATATTTCCTTGGGGGGTCGATTATACCTAACCCTCCAAGGTATATCATATCTTTTTCTAATTTAAAATAATCTTCTGCATTTGTAACATTTAAATCGTTTTTCTTCATTTTCCTGTAAGCAAAGCTTAATGTGCGTAAGGCTCTCTTACCCATACCTTTGACTCGATTACAAATGACATTTTTCAATTCCTCCGTAAGTGGTTTTACTTCATTTTTAATTAAGTAGTAGTTACAATTTTTTATTATATTTTCTGGTGCTCCTTTGCAGTAAAGAATATAATCTTTTTTTTTATTTTCAACAATCACACTCATTAGTTTTCTCTCTCTTGTAAATTCAATTATTTTAATTAATTGACATTCATTTCTCCAAGCTGCTATGGATTCACTTGGGTATGTTTTACTGTCCTCTTTGTTTTCCTTTTCTTCATTCGATACATCCATATAGCTATCACCAGTGGAGTTACTTGCTTTTTCTTCTTCCCCTTTTTTACTTTTACTCTTTGTAGAAGCCCTTCCGTATTCAGCCGGCACAGTATTATTTTTTACCGCAATTGGTTTAATGTTAAAGTTGTGTACGAAATGGAGGAGAGCCAACTCGGTGCTGTCTCCAAAGACCTTTACAATTTCGTTCTTGTCATTACACACAATATTTGCCTCGTTACAATTTACCATACACATGTAAAAATTATAATCGTACTCCGAGTAGGCGTACTTTTTAATTTTGTCTTCTAAAATTTTGCTGCCCCTACTGATGATGGTGTTAACGTTGGTATGCATTTGCTTTAGTGACTTCTCCGTTTCAACATCCGATGGATACTCTTCATAATCTTCCATGTCGCTATCTCCATAATTGTTTTTTCCATCGTACGAGAGGTTGGTGTTGTTAGAATGTTCTTTATTTCCTCTAGAGGCGACGGTGCTAGATACCTCATAGGATGATTGGCCTGCTGTTTGACTGGATAAGCGTTCTTGTCGCTTGAGTTTGTTGAAGAAGGAAGAGTTATTGTCCTTTCCCTCTTCTTCTAAGCATGATTCGTAAAAGAAAAACGTATCCCCTTTTTGGCAGAGCTGATATTCTTTCAACATGGTTGACTCTTTAAACAGGTGGAATACTGTAGCCGTCATCTGATTCGTTGTGAGCGTTCCCGTTTTATCGGAGCAAATAACCGTAGTGCACCCCAACGTTTCAACACTCTGTAATTTCCTCACAATGGCATTTTTCTTGACCATTCTTCTGGTACCTAAAGCTAGACAGGTGGTGATAACAGCAGGGAGACCCTCCGGGATAGCAGCCACGGCTAAAGCGACACTAATTTTGAAATAGTACAAGCATCCGTACAGAAACGACCCGTGAATTGGATCTGAAAAATGTTTAAAGTTTATAACCCATACAGTAACACATATAACAAATATTATTTTAGAGAGCTGTCTTCCAAACGCATCAATCTTAATTTGTAAAGGAGTGTCTGTATCTTCATTGGTTGATTCCATCACGGCATGTTGTATTTGCCCTATTTCAGTATTCATACCAATATTTGTAACGACAGCGATACATCTGCCAGCCACAATAGCAGTGGAAGAAAATAAAATATTTTTCTTCAGCTGAATTTCACAATTCTTATGACTAACATCTAACTTTTCTGCATATTTATCCACAGAACAAGACTCCCCTGTTAACATACTCTGCTCTACCTTAATGCTAGTGGAAAATATTTCAATGATTCTAGCATCTGCTGGTGTTTTATTTCCTACACTTAACTCAATTATATCACCTATGGTTAAAAATTTGCTGTCAATGATTTCCCATTTTCCATCTCTCAGTACTTTGGCTTTGGTGGGCTGCAACTGCTTCAGAGCATCCAATGACTTTTCTGCATTACACTCTTGCCACACCCCCACAGCTGCATTTAAAATTAGAATCATAACTATGACTAGCGGTTCAATAAAATCACAGATGGCCACGTGATTATTTTGCATATCGAGCAAGGTTAGCGCGAAACTTATAAATGCTGCTAGCAGGAGGATCTTTACTAGGAGGTCATCAAATTGGTTTAAGATTAACTCTAGGATCCCTTTCTTCGTTTCTACTTCCAATTCGTTGAGGCCATATTTTTCCTTCCTTTTGGCCAACTGGCTCTTGGTTAACCCCTTCGTCGGGTCCACCTCTAGAGCCTTCAGCACCTCCTTCACATCGTGCACGTGCGCGTGCCGCACCACGTTCTCCATGGAGGCTTCACCGGGATGTCCTAATAGCACTGAGGCGGAGGCGCGGTCTCTTCTTCGCACTGACGCAGCCTCACGAACGCGAAAAATGAACAATTAAATAAATATATGAACAGGGCGCCCCCACCCCTCGGAGAGACTACCTACTATTCTGCCCTGACTTTCCTCCTTTGCGTCCACCCCTATTAACAGTGATGGAATGGTCTCCTCCCTTCTACATGCACACCTCTTCACAGGTGCTCAAATGGGACACGACACGGACGTATATGTATGTGGGGATCCCACGCAAATGCGCCACACTGGACTTAAAGGCAGATTCACAAACGGCCTTATTATCAGAGACTCACAAATGAGAACGGGGCAAAGACTATAACACGTGAGATTTCCCACTTCACATTCTGCGCCACATGGGAAGGAGGGGCACGTCGCATGCATGTATGACTGCGTACACTTGTGCACGCAGCCACGATCTGTAATGCAAATGGGAGGAAAAACGAGTGAGCACGTAAGCAGGTTCGCGCGGGTGTCCTCCACGCAATTATATGAAGTGATCCTGTAGCTCTGGTATAGCTCACCCCCTTTAGCTGGCTTCGCTACCCCTCCTTTCGTCGCCCGAGCGCGCAGGTAATTCTCGTACTTACGGAGGGGCGTTCTTAAACGGCCAGTTCGCGCATGCCCGCTGCCGAGCCCTGCGGAATCTACTTAATTATAAAATGGAATATGCCCAGATTAAGCAGCTCCTCGTCAGCGCAAAAAAGAAAAGAAAAAAAAAAAAAAAAGAGCGACGAGCTGCTACATAAGCAAATCGGCCCAAGGCTTTTCCAGCCAGGTGAAAAATATGCACATGAGAACGTACCCACAGTTAGTGTGAACTACGCATTTGAACGAACGCACGTATGCTCGTGATGCTACGCGCGTATGTATGAGAAGCATTTCCCAGATGGATCATATGACAGAAAAAAAAAAAAAAAAAAAAGTAAACATAAAAATAAATAAATAAAATAGGAAGCGAAACCGAACAAAAGCTGAGAACCTTTTTCTAAATTAAGGAGGTGGGGGAAAAAAAAAAAAAAAAAAAAAAAAAAAAAAAAGTTCATTCCCATTCCCCCGCACATTCATGTGTTAGCGCTTCTGCAGCGCACCGTGCAGCCGTGTACTTTTCCATTTATGTATAACACGCGCATGTAACATGGAGTGCAGCTCGATTATAGAATGAGCAAGTAAGAAAAAGTGGGCGAGGCTAGGGGAAACTTTTGGCATGCCATTCCTTCAGGTTGCTCATTTTTTTTTTTTTTTTCCCCATGTAGCTTAGGCCTTGTCGTACAGTTTTCCCCTCTTCCTACCCCCGCTTGGCACTGCGCAAAGTTTGCGAGGTGGTACTCCGTTCGAACTTTAATGAAGTTAGGTAAACGGGGAAAGAAGGACCAGGAAGAAGGGGATTGTTTTAAATGACTAAATTGTACCGTGTGGTCTTCCTTCAAATTGAAAAGTCCTACCCATGGGAAAATCCAGGTGACCCCAAAATGTACGTACCACAGTGAGGGTGAAAGTTTGCCCCACCTGGGGGAAGACGCCACCCCCTTTTAGCCACAATTTGTCCCACACCACACAGGGAGACAAAACAAGGACATGTAAATAATCTTCGGCGTTTCCACCATTGGAGCTAAATAACAGTGGCTTCTTGTCCCCTCCCCTTGTCTGCGCGAAGTAGTGTAGGCATCGCCCCATAACACTTCCACACTGGGGAGGGTGTGGCATTATTTGTACTCATAACCTCTGTCACCTTGACCATTTGAGAAAAGCAAAATATATAATAAAAGGGTACCCACGAATTGTGCAACGGTAGTTCTCCCCATCCCACTTCTAACCGCATTAAGGACATTGCAAAACACGAGGGCCAAATGAGCAGACCGCACGTTTGAAGAATACCTGATATGTATAAATGAAATGAGTACAGATGTTTTGTGAATCTGGTTTGTGTTCTTTCCCCCCACCCCATGGAAAGAATTAACACCTCACTCATCCATTTGTCTTTTTATCTGTGCTGCAAGCGTTTTCTTTCCTTTCCCCTGCACTTTGCAATGTTTAAATACATTTTAATTACGCACAGGACAAATCACTAAACCACATGTTTTTAACCGCATTTAGGGCATTTTTTTTTTTTTTTTTTTTTTTCCTTCTCAAATTTTTAATCATGTTCGTCGCCAGAAGATAGATCCAATATGCGCGCCAAATGTTTCACTACACTCCTTTTGCGAACCGGGCATAGGTGGTTATACGCATGTGGGATTTTATTGCGGGGTTACAACACCTGTGCCTTTTTGAGAACCGGTTGCGCTGCGCTTATGTTGGTGACTCCTCCACAGCCATGCTGTTGTTCTGGTATGCAAATAAAGAAGGACTCTTTACAAAAAAAAAAAAATAAAAAATAAAACAAAAAAAAAATTGCTACGCGTGATGCCATGCATAATAAAACATGTTCTCTCTTCTTCCATTTGGATAAAGAGTTTTTTATATTTGGGGAAAGTTCCCCCCCAACGTTGTGCCCACTTTTTACGCATGTTTCCGCTGCGTTGCTATAATATAACATCAATTTGTCGCTCCCTCTTTGCGTTATTTACCATTTTTTACCTGACCCGGCAAGGTGAAATGTAAAGAGAAATAAAGCTTCCCCGCGTTGCGGTTGAAGAGGATATAGGTTTTTTCCCTTTTTTTGAAAAGGCTAAGAATAGATTTTTCTGGTCTACAGAAGGCCAAATTTGTGAATTAAAAGACCGTTTGTATTTATAATTCGCAAGGAGAGCACTTCAAAGGAGACAACTGATACGAGTGATCCATCCAGCTAGCACGTGGAACCCCGTAAACGAAATTTTCACATCAAAATGAGCGATGACGCGTCAATTTTATTCTACGAAGGGATTAACCTGATTTTTGATAAGTGGTAAAATTGCATAATTATACGTGCACCAGGTTTATGCGAAAGGGGAAAGAAGGGGAAAAGGAAAAAAGGAATGAAGACATTTTTTTCGCCTTCCCCCTCCCCCCGCTTTTTTGACCGTGTTTTATTTGAAATGTTTACCCATGAGGAGTGAACACAAAGTTGGCTCCACCAAAAGTTCAGTGAATACCCTTTCTATGTAGATATATACACGTGTGGACACTCTTTTAAAGAGCCTTGTCATGTGCTGCACCCTACGTTATTATTTACCGGCCCTCCACTTTTACGGTGTATTTTTTTTTTTTTTTTTTCCCTCTCCTCCGCGCAGGACTGTTCTCCGTTTGGCTGTGACGAACAACTGGGGAGGGCCAAGTTCGGAAGAGAAAAAAAAAAAACTAATCGAATATGTTCACAGCTACGTGTTGTCGGGTAAGCGATAGGTGACAGGACACGAAAGGGGAAAACCCCTCCAAAGCGCCAAACACACCATTCGGACATTCGTGTCATTGCCAAATTGGGGACACCACGTCCCCCTCTAGTGACAACTCACACAATTTTTTTTTTTGTTTTTTTTTTCTACCCCATTTTAGCTAGCAGCCCAAAACACAAACTGTGCGACTACTTGAGGGACGAAATGAACACCTTGTTCAACGTAGACATTGAGGATGACAGTGATGTACTGCAACATTGAGGAAAAGGAAAATAAAATATTTTACCAAATTGCGCAACAGTGTATAATGCATGTGACTTCATATTTATACGTACCAGCAAGTGCACATGGTCCTTTCCACCCCCTTTGCCTTCCTCCCCACACGCAGATCGAAGTCTCCGATTTGATATTGGACCTGTACAGCAACTTGAAAAAGAACAACCTGGACATTATAGAACAAATCAAACAGATAAAGGAGTCCGACTTGACGCACTGCAAGGAAAACAACTTAGTAGAGGAAGCCTACGATTCTGAAGAGGCTGAATCGGGAAGTGATTTTTCAGACGAAGAGCAGTCAGGGAGTGACTACTCGCATGAGGACCATTCTGATGGAGAAAAACCAAACGGTCAATAAGTGATAAAAAAACACCTGAACGGGTCATACAATATTAGCAAAATGTATGAACACAATTTACCTTTGTGGCTTTTTTTTTTTTTTTTTTTTTTTTTTATAAAAAAGTTTGTTTCTATTAGTACTTCTTCGCCTTTTCTTCATAAAAGACTTTACATCTCTTACGTTAAATTTTGAAGAGACTTATTCTCCATACAAGGAAAAGATGGAACAGTTCTCATCCAATTGGCCCCTTTGTGTTGCCTTATTTTAACCTTTCCAAAAGGGAGGGGGAGTGGGGGAGTACTTTTCCCCTGCGAAAAGGAAAGTCACATGGGGTGGTGAAACACATATAGGAACAGCCACAATATGATACACACGTGTGGTTAACTTATACACATTTGGTGAGAACCCTTGTTTTTTTTTACGCTTCTACTTTTTGCGTGTTGATGTTTGTACCCCTTCTACTGTCTCTGCTGCAAGGGAGTGATATTATTTTATCATATATGGATGGAGCACCCCCCCTTTATTACGCAGCATTTTAAAACGTCGTCCCATTTCGTCGTGCGCGGGTTTGAAGTGTACGTTTGTGCACATACATACACATGCGTGGTATGGATTGGATCGAATTTGTATCCTCGGAAAATACGATGCCTTTCGAACGGTGGCCAATTTCTTTTTTCACAAATAAATTTTGGGCCATTTGCTTCAAATGCGCCTCGACTTTATTTAACCCACACGATAGCGAAGCTTCTTACTGTAACCCGCCTGATGGGGTGGGGGACAGAATTCCTTGCACATGCATGTATGTGTGAATGGTGGCTACTTCGTCCAGTGCACTTTCTGAATTTTGTGTGTTTTTTTTTTTTTTTTTTTTTTTTTTTTGCCTTTCCCAAAGTGATCACACCCCTTTCCATGTGAATGTTACTTTTAATAGGGGGGGAACCCTCTAGCTACAACTTGTTACTTCCTTAAGGATGTTTCTTTTTTTTTTTTCTTTTTTGTTTTTCCCCATTTAATTGTTTCATTTGACCGCATCGCTTATGTCCACTAAGAAGAGACGTTTGGAGAAAGTTTCTTTTTTGTCACACCATGGAAGTCGACTTTGTGAATGCGCAGGGTCAGGACAACTGTGGTCTTTTGTTCGACCAGGGGGGAGAAGCGGTACGCGAAGCGCCGGGTGATGCAGCAGGTGAAGAGTTGGAAAAACCGCTAGCAGAATCGATCATTGTGGAAGGAGTAAAAGAATGCTGCGTTGGGGCGGATGGTGAAAAGGACTGCGCGGAGAGCAAACCCCACAGCGTACCAGACGCGAAAGAACCGGATTCCTCCCCAACGAAGAAACCAATTTGCGAGAAAGAGCAATTGGAGGTAAGCCGAGAAGGCGCTGATGTGCATGCAGTAAAGATAAAGGTTCAAGACAGTGAAGAGGCAAGGGAAGAAGCCGCATGCAGAGGGAAGAGTCTACATGGAGAAAAGAACGAATTGCCACAGTTAGGTGAAGCTAACGTAGAGTGGAGGAGCACCATTGCGGGAAGAAACACAAACCAGAGGAGACGCTTAACCCCAAACAGACAAGGAGAAGCAGAACGAATCAACCAACTGTACAGGAACTCCAAGAGCACCAACATAAATTTATATAAACGTATGTACCAGTCATACCTCCTTCTCCGGAAGGAACAGAACGAACTCTTAGCTCAGAATAGAAGAAAAGAGGAAAGGAATATGAAGTTGAAGTATGAATTAGATAGCTTAAGAGGCAACAGCTATTATGCTAATTTTTTTTTTAATAATGACTCAGACAATCTGTTCGGGGACCTCGCGTCAGGCATAAGTAACATTTGGAAGTGGATGGACATGGAGGGTAAAAGTGCCCACGTGAAAAACGCGCAAAAGGGTGAAGTTGGACCAACCACACAGGTCCATCACTCGGGGGGAGTATCACCCCCTAGAGGAGGAGACCCACAAGCGGGATACGAAGCGACAACCGAAGCGGTGCACAAAGGGGAATGCGCTAATGCACAAAATGATGTGCCAGCGGAAGGTAGTGCGGCAGGTGGCACTTCTTGTCAGGGGGTTGTTGCCCCGAGTGAGGATCGCCCTGATGAACACTCACAAGAGTATGAACCGGCGAAGGATACCCCCCCAAATGGAGTACAGCTCAGTGAAGTACAACCCGCGGGGAGCTGCCCGATGGAGAATGAAGACAGGACGAACACAATAAGTGAAGCTCGAATGGAAAGCCCCTCTCGCATTAATGAGACTAAGGTGACCCGAATGATGGAGGGAATTCCCTCTCATGGGAAGAACACCCAACAAGCAGCAACCACGCACAATGGAGGCCAAAAAAAAAGAGTCCATTTTGTAAAGGGGGTGTATAAGCATCTACAGAGAAATGACGCAAACGAGGTGAACCTCCCCCCATCTCACAACTCCTCTTTGCAAAATGAAAAAATTGAAAACAAAAATTCATTTCTGTGGGAAAAGGAGAGTCGGCCAGTGAAGCGGGGATGTGTGAAGTATGGTCAGCTGCAGAATCGATTTACAGACCAGGAGAGGAGTTCTTTACGAGTGGACAGAGAGCCAGGTGCCTTCACGTCCATGGAATGCCCCAAGGATAACATCATTAATTACATTAAAGGCAGACTCTCTGTTGGTGGCAGGACCCATGGGAAGGCAGCTGTAGCAAGCGGCCAAAAACCAGCCATGAGTGTGCAACGTACTTGGATGAGACACAGTGGTGGTCCGAACAAGAGGATCATTAAGGAAGAAGAAAAATTGCTCTTTCACATTTGTAATTGTAAAGAAAATAAATACGTCCCCTTAAACGTTGGTTCCTTTTTTATGGTCCCTCCAAAGAGGGCTGTCCCAGATGAGGACTTCAGCTTGAGGTGTCTAGAGAAATGTATGGACTTTATTTTGCGCCGGAAGGAGAGGGGCAACCACAGCGAGATACGTGTCAGGCAGAAAAGGAGTAGTAACGTCCCCTGTGAAAGTGTCCCTCTCGCAAGTGCAACTACAAACATGCGTGACGTGAATGAGCAGGAGGGGGGTGTCCCCAGGCAGGGTGAAGCGGGGGTAGGGGAAGAAGGAGACGAGAAGGAATCACCACCCGTTGGACAAAGTAACCGTGAGGAAGGCAGAAAAAAAACTCGACTTATCACGCAACAAGTGACGTTAAGAGAAGGAGATAAAAATGGAGGTTTGGAGGAAGGGGCAGAAAAGCAATTGTTGAGAAGGGGGCAGAGTGGACGGAAGGGCCTGCTACAGGTGAACAGAAAGGGAAGGTCTAACGAAGGAAGGACAGTTCAAAAATGCCAAGTGAAGGGAAAGAAGGGGACAAAATATAATACGCAAAAAATGGACATGGGCCCAGGCAGCAAATTTGGCCATCTAATGACAAGAAAGGGATTTACACGGATGAGGGACTCTTGGGGGAGACTCATTTGTGAAGTAGTTTCTAAGAGGGAAGAAAAAAGGGGGGGAATTTTCTCCCCCGTGGTGAAGGTAAGGAAGACAGTCAAGTGGGCTCCCCACACGAAGGGTCATTCACGCCATGTGCGTTTCTCGCGAATCGGCAGAAGGTTTTCCCCTTCCATTCGTCGCAGCCGATGCGCACGTAGCGGTTTCGAAGAGGTTTCAAAAGGGGGGGAAAAAAAAACCCATGGGGGACAGAACAAATCGAGCAAGTCATCTCGCAGCTTGGTCGATAAGTGCGTTTCGGAAGGGAAGGTTGACGAAGGAGGTGTGACCATCGGCAGGGAAGACAACGTGGTGGGACGGGACAGCCCGGAGGGGCACGCAGCAGGCAGCTTCAAATGGAATGCGATAAGTACAGAACAACACAGTGCCTCGTTAGGACCCCCCCCAGATACAGCACCACATGGATGCCTCCAACGTGAAAAAAATTCATCAGCAAATAGTAACCTTCTTAAGGAGGCACTTGAGACGTATGTGAAGTCCCTTGACCTTTCCACCAGACGAATCGACTGCATTGAGGAAGAAAACACAGACTCAGTGACCATAATAGGAATACAAATTAAAGTGCGAGATGAATACATTTACTTAAACCTAGACGCACTAAGTACCGTTGAAGATAGTGTTAGGGTGTGGGTAGAACAGAACGACAAGGTCCTGAACGGTTTTGTAACAAGTAGCGAGTTAATTTGCTCGACCCTGAAATATTACTGTGTCGACATTTTTACCTTTGTGTGCATTTTTTTGGAAGCCCTCGAAAACCATATAGAAGAGTTTCCTTTTTACCTGTCCATTTCGCTTGAGGATATTTTCCGTGTGTGCCGTGGCGGCTAACGAGGCGTGCTGCTGTGCGCGGGCGTGCAAGGGAGGGGCGGCTGGCCACCCGTACCACGATAAGAAGTGTCGTCAGAAGGCCTCTGCAAAGTGTAGAGACACCGAAGTAACCACAAAAAGGGAAGGGCGCAGATGCAGATGATGCAGATGATGTAGACGATGCAGATGATGCAGATGATGCAGATGATGTAGACGATGCATGCACTGTGCACCCCTAGCACTTGTCCCCATAATGAAATAAATTTTTTTTTTTTTTCCCGAGTGGCTTACGTGTTGAGCAGCACTTGTATGCATACAAGGGAAAAAAGCCCAACACAGGGAAGAAGAAATGCTACCACACACACCCCTGAAGTGAGCCTTCCTTGTAGGAAGCAGGGCAGTGATGCTTGTTCCTTGCTGGGTAAGGACGGGACCGTCAGTACAGCTGTCCACATGGGGTAAACCACGTGGCAACACATTAAGACACACCTCCATTTGGTTGCATCCCCAATACAAGTATTGTACTAAGCCATGTATAGCACTGTTCACGTGGAAGAAATAACTCTCTCTCTAAAAAAAAAAAAAGGAGTCACGCTGGAAAGCACGCACACGGAAGGTGAATAAAAAAAAAAAAAAAAAAAAAAAAAAAAAGGGGTGACGCATACATTTTCATTTTTATATTTTTTTCTCAGCGCACGAGAACAGAAAGTGTTGTCTCATGTGTCTATGTGGTACAATCATTCGCACATTTACATTTGCGTGCTATGTTTTTCCCCAGTGCGCGAAGATAAAAGGATTTTGCGTCACCGGGGGAAGAAGCCATACAAGTGTGTGTAGGGGAGCGTAAATAAGAATGAAGTACTTGTTGCCCCTTCTGCATGTCATCGCTCTGTGCATTTATAAGAAGGAACATGAGGGCGAGTGTTATGATTGTCTTGTGTGTGGTTCCCTTGCTGTATGGAGCGGAGGGGAGCGTCTCAGAAGGGAAGAGCAAAAGACGACTCACTCGAGGATATTGTACCAGTTGACGAGACGAAAAAGGAGGGGAGGTGCTCGACGCAGACGCAACAATCGTAGTGCAAAGCGGCGAAACAGAAGGCGTAAAAAACGGCTCGCTAGGCAGCGGAAGGCACAACGTAGGAAGGCAAGGAGAGAACAAAGGAAAAGAAAGAAGCAGAGGAAGAGAGCTGAGCGCAAAAGGAAAAGAAAGGAGAGAAAAAAAAGAAGGCAAGAAAGGAAGGAAAGGAAAAGACAAAAAAAAAGACAAAAGAAAGAAGAAAAGGAACGACAGAAGGAGAGAGAAGCGGGGGGACCATCAAGTGACGACTTACAGACCAATTCAAATGGTCATGAGGACGATGGTGCGGAGGTACAAGCGGGGTCTCCTCCAGCTGAGGACAGTTACAATGACGGGGCCAGTCCGTATAATGCGGCAGAAGAAGGCGCATCTTCACCAGTGGCGAGTGGGGTAACACAGATGGGAGGTCACCCACCTGAAAGGAGTGGAGGGCCGATTGACTCATATGGGTCCTACGGTTCCTCACTGCATGACGACAACAGGGACATCTCCAGCCATTCAACACACGGAGGCGCAGGGACAGCTGTAGAGGGAGTCAGCCCATACGAAGCCGAGCTGGGGAAGAACGTGAAGGTGATCCATTTCGACCGACTAAAGAAGGAACCCAAGGGGGAGCTTATAAATAAAATCAGAGGGATCCTAAATACACTGGAGTGAAGACAAGCGCAGCGGCGTAACTGGTCGTGTGCGTGACGTGGGTGGTGATTTCGCGCGTAACGCGTCCCATTTGTGTGCTTCCCATTTGAGGGAGGCTTGCCGACCGAGCCATTTTTTTATTTAGGCGATTGGTGTCACGTTAGTTGTTCCTTCGTTTGCTGTTTCGTTTCCTCTTTCATCGCTTGCTTGTTGCTTGCTTACATTTTGTTCTTTTTATATTTTTCCCTGTTCTTGGCCCAACTGTTACAAAAACGAAGGGAGGAACGAAGCCCTATTTTTCGCTTTCATCCCCGGGGCGTGGCAGCAGTTATATTAGCAGCGCAGTAGCGCGGGTGTTTTTTTTTTTTAATTTTTTGAGCATGCCCAGGAAGGGAAATATATACAAACGGGATGCAACTACGCCCTCCCTTGGCGTCCATTTTGGCGATGGCCCCGCTCTGCAGAGCTGGGGAAAAATGTAATTTTGCGGATATGTACCCTTGTATACAAAACTGTCCTCATAAAAACGTTTGAACAATTTTTCAATTTGTACGAATCGTCTTCCCGATGTGATAAGAGTTGTCCTTTTCTTATATTAGCCTGTTTAGCTGAGTGGGCAAAGGTGCTTTTTTTTTTTCCTTTTTTGCCGCGTTTTTTTTTTTTTGTTTTTTTTGTTCTCTGCGGGCCATTTATATTCTCCCCATGTAGATCGGAGTCGCGCGGGTGGGGCATAATCTGCCACATAGCTGCAACAACAACAAAAAAAAAAAAAAAAAAAAAAAAAAAAAAAGAGG